CCCCCCCCCCCCATGGTTTCCCCACGTTTTATCAAATTATATGAAGAATTCCTGTTTTCAAGGATACACTTCATGGGCGTGAAAATAACATCGGAGTGGAACCGTGAGTCTTGCACAATTGCACATGTCTGTACTGTGACACTATGACGTTGAGAGTTGAAAAGATTTATTATGTGCCATTATTTACAATCCATTGTTTCTTTCCAACATCGTGTAGAAGTTAATGCTCTTCCTAAAGTCAAGAAGACAAGGTATACGTACCATTCTTTACATATTTTGTCAAAATTATCTGCAAATTAGTAAATTACAAAACTATGCTGCACTAATTTGTATTGAATACCGATACCAATACAGTATATACTATTACTGTAATCTTATCTTTAAACGTTTATTACCACAACTAAAGTTTAAAAAATAACGTATTGAATATGCCTAATTTTGTAGATGTTTTCTATGCCGACAATGAAGTTATTAAACCATCTTGAATCAGCCTATTAAATCATTAACCCATTAAGCTGAAATGTATCCTAATATGCCCTACTTTATTATTTTAAGACCTAGCTTTCATGTCAAATGCCAAGTGCATACATGAGTCTTCAAATAATGAAATATTAGGAGTCAATATTGTGGAACCACAATTAATAGTAAATATATAGAATCAAAATTGTGCACCTGATAAATGTAAATGGGGTGTGCTGAGGGAGTGTCACTGTGTCAACAAATTGATTTCACCCAGAATATACTTTAGTCATGTTTATAAATTTTTAGCATGAGTATTGATTTGTTGTTATGTTTGTGAAAATAAGTAATAGACAATTTGATACATTTATTTTACTTCACAAAATGCAACCTATCAACCTCCAAAAATTTGCTGACCTTAATTCAGCCACAGTAAGAATTGTTTTTGGTGCTGATAGCTGTTAAAAAGTCAGCGATAATAGTATTCGATTTGTAGTTCAATTAACGAAATACACTTCGGTGTAAGGTTTAAAAATTGACGGGTATTCTATATATAATTTAGGTAAGACTCTAAAAGAAATCACCATATCAGTGCGATTGCTAAGGTCGACTTAATTAATTTTAAATGGGCCATCATATGGAGGCCACAAAGGCTTTCGTATGGTGTCACGACGGATGAAAACGTGGGTGCACGTTTGTAGATCTTTCAGAACATGGGATTTGTGGCGTTGCGGGCGGTCTGGTGGGGGGGGGGGGTGTTCAGGTTGTGAAGGGTTCGTTTGAGGTGATCAACGTAGGATGTAGGATCTAGCGAAGGGTGGTCGATAGGGTGGGAAAAGAATTCACCTGGTAGACAGAGGGTCGTTTCATAAACTCATTCTGAAACACTGGCCAAAATCAGCTTTCGCTGCAAGCTTTCACTGTTGTTTCTGGATACCTAAGAGAACGAGAGGACCGGCATCACCGGAGGGGTAAGCATTATTTTGCTTATTTCGCTCCAGTGCGAGGGGTCATTGGTATCTTTAAGAGAAGCTTACAGTTGGTGATGAAAACGTCCAACGAGACCATTAGCAAACACGGGTAGTGCCAAGGAAGTTGGTTAGGGCAGCAAAGAGATGACTTTTGAACTGTTTTCCATTATCTGTAGTAATTGTGTGTGGAATGCCAAATCAGGCAATCCAATGGGTGATGAAGGCTTGAGCCACAGATTCTGTTGTGATGGTGGAAATGGGAATTGCCTCATGTGAGGCGATCAATGCAAGTCAAGATCGATAAGAATTGCCATTTGAAGGAGGTTAAGGACCAACGATATCGACAGGTGTGATGTCGAACTTTGCAGCGGTGACATTGTAGACATGATCTGGTTCACTGCCGTACATCGCTGTTGATGCTGGGCCAAACATATTGTTCAGTGATCAGGCGTTGTGTTGCCTTGATGCCTGAGTGGGAATGGTTCTGGAGGGAGTCAAAAATGGTGTAGCGAAAGGCATGGGGAACAAAAGGTTGAGGTTTACCGACCGGTGGAAATGTCGCAGGTAATATGGTTGTTGGAGGTGGGTATAGAGTGATCTGACTTGCAATTCCATTGTGGAGGACGGATTTTGAATCTGATTGTAAATGAGTTCTTTGTCGTTGTGTTGAGCAAAAGCCGTGGTGTCAAAATCGCTAGTTGACGAAGGAGTTAAGTTAAGATGGCGATACGTGACAAGGCATCAGCAACTGGGTTTTTGTTTCCACTAACATGACGGAGATCGGTTGTAAATTGGGAAATGAAGTCCAAGTGGTGAATTTCTCGAGTTTAATGACGGTTGATGGAATTGTGTAAGGCATAGGTCAACGGTTTGTGGTATGTCAAAACAACGAACTGGCGTGCTTCAAGGTGGTGGCAGATAGAAAGGTACACTGCGAGGAGTTCCCATCCGAAGGTGCTGTACCGGGTTTCTGCTGGTTGAAGGCGTTCGGAAAAGAAACCATGTGGTTACCAAACGTTGTTGACTCATTGTTGTAGAATGGCACCAACTGCATCATCGGAGCATTGGTCATGAGGCACAGTTCAGCATCGGATTTTGGGTGTGACAGTAGAGTGAAATCATCGATTAGCAAGAGCATTCTTGAAAGGCATAGGTAGCTAAAAAAACATACTAAATTAGGTAGCTGGTTTGGACCATTGGAGTGGGGTGTTACTTGTCTTTTTGGTGGAGCCGTTTGATTAAGTGAGCATGTCAGTGAGAGGCTGAAGGATGTGAGAACATTGGGGGATGAATCAGCCGTAGAAAGTCACAAGGCCTACGAATTCTCGAAGTTTGGGGAGCGAAATAGGGAGGGGGAAATCACGGATAGCTTTGACTTTTGAGTCAAGAGGTTGGATACCATGTGGATTCTCACATGGTATCCAATCCAAATATCATGTTCAACACAACAAATAAATCTGGTATTTCCGTGCATGCACCCATGTATTATTCTCTATAATACTGTATAATTAGGGTAAACAATGAAACAGCAACGCTAATAAACTAGTGACCCAAAACTGATAAACAACTGACAATCTGAACAAAATCTGTACAAACTGTACATAGAAAGTGGAACATGATCAAGATAGGAGGTGGAATCTAATTAAGTAACCAGCATGTTGTGAATATCATTAACCCAATGACAAACAATTAGGCTCTTTCAATTGGTATCTTTGGTAGACCTAGGGCCGGTTGCAGTACATACAAAGGGCTGGTTGTACATCTTATATTCCTAGTAAGACAGTCTTGGCTTTGTGCTCTCTCGATTAATCGTGCTCAACTCATCTGTAATATGACTAGATGTTAGATGGCAGCTCTACAATTGTGGAGTAATGAAAATAAATGTATCAATTTAAGTATTTTTACAAACATTACAACAAATCAATACTCGCACTAAATTGGTGACCCTTAATTCAGCCACAGTAAGAATTGTTTTTGGTGCTGATAGCTGTTAAAAAGTCAGCGATAATAGTATTCGATTTGTAGTTCAATTAACGAAATACACTTCGGTGTAAGGTTTAAAAATTGACGGGTATTCTATATATAATTTAGGTAAGACTCCAAAAGAAATCACCATATCAGTGCGATTAATAAATCGGTATTTCCAAGCACCCATGTATTTTTCTGTTCATTATATAAAGGACAGTCTTTGAAAAGCGATAATTTTTACAGAAAAGCGATAATTTTCACATGTGAGATTATCACTTTTATCAGTGCTCAAAATCTCTATAAATTAGCACTATACTTTATATAATATCAGCCTAGACCTAGGCCTTCTATTTTTATTTATATTTTTTTAATATTCAGTGCTTTTTCACATGAAAAGACTGGGACACAAGGACACAAGCCTGACCTCCGCCCCGCCCCCAAATCACCTAGTCCCAGTCTTTTCATGTGAAAAAGCACTGAATATTAAAAAATATAAATAAGACTAGAAGGCCTAGGTCTAGGCTGATATAATATATGATAATATGAAGTTGCTTACTGACTAATTCACTTACAGTGATGTAGAAAAGAAGTAGTGGGAGAACATGGTTTGTTTGGGGAATTATAAGAAGAACATACTGTAGGATCTTGATATTAGAAATTTTCAGCACTATGGAAAACTAGAAACTTGAAATCTGGTATGCCACCATGAAAATCTAGTATCTTGCATTTGGATAGTAATATTCAAGCATTGAAAGAAAATGCAAAAATCGATTTTCAATTGTAATAAATTTGATATAATGGATCTACTTTAAGATATATGTTAACTAAAACTTTATAAAATATCCATAAAGTTATGAACAACAGAAAAATACTGCATCTGTTGAGGACAGAAATTTTTTTGTATCCCATTATACTGAGCTTCCGATGTCCAGTATCCAAATTAAAAATCAGGTATCATGTGGAAATCGATACTGCAAGTTTCAAGCCCTGCATGCATGGGG